ACCGTTTCACTCCCGCCGTCCTAAATTCAAGGTCCTCCGAGAATATCTCAGTCCAAGGCAGGACCTTTACCCTTCTTATCACGCTCGTAGGCTCTGAGTATGTCGGGAGCTGTTTTAAGCAGTTCTGTTCTAGTAAACCAGCGGTCGTCTTCCGGTTCCTGATAAGCAAACCGGACCTTATACTGTTTCTGTGGACGACCTCTACCTCCTGTCCTAAACACATCTGCATCTACAATGCCGTCAATGTCATATCTCCCATCCATATCCGGAGGGATCATGGGTCTTCTTGAAGGGAACTGTCGATTTGTGACACACGGCAACAACTTCGAAGCCCGGAACACCGGGTAGGTGGGGAGGTGTGCTGGAATCTCTATAGTGTAGGACGGTCCATCGTCTCCACCCTTAACTTCTAGAACCGGCCACGGTCCTCTATATGCAGGCAGTAACTTCTGCGAGATGTTCTCCTCAGGTGCAAACTCTTTAGACTTGACCCAGACCAGGTCGCCTACCTGAAACTGCGATGGGCGACGGTGTTTATTAGCCTGTTCTATCATGCGGTGCTGGGCCTTCCTGAGGTTTTCAATAACAGTTGCTAGCTCTCTCTCGTGCTGTATTGCGAACTCCCTGGTACCGGGCGGTAGTCTGTGAATCTGATCCCGGGTAAGTCCTTCAAACGGTCTGCGGGGTCTAAAGGACTTGTGTAACTCGTTGGGAGTGCGACAGGTAGACAAATGCATGTTGTTATTGTATGCGCTGGCTACCTTGGGCAACATCTCGTCCCAATTGATTTGATCCGGTCTAATATACATGCGCAGAACTTACTGAAGGATCTCGTTCATCTGTTCTGTCTGACCGTTAGTCTCTGGATGACGGCCAGATGACATTAACAACTTTGACCCATAGGCTTTCATCAGTTCCTGCCAGTTCTGGCCGGTGAAGCGGGTGTCTCTATCACTAACAATGGACAAAGGAACCCCGTGATCACTAATCCAATGATCAAAAAACTTTTGAATGACTAATTCTGTACGTGCCTCTGCAGGCAAGGGAACAAAAACTGCATATTTACTGAATCTATCAACTATGACCATGACTTGGCTCTTGTCGTGCCTACTCTTGACACCGGCATCCATTAAGTCAATGGAGGCTGAATCTCCAGGTTGGACTGGGATAGGCAAGGGTCTGAAGACCTAGAGGGGCACGAGTAGTGGTCTTGTTCCTCTGGCAAACTTTGCAACTGCGAACATACTCTCTGCAGTCAGCTTTCATTCCTGGCCAAGTATATGCACGCATCAGATTGGCTAAAGTCTTCTGCCAACCGAAGTGTCCCTCTGTGTCATGGCATTCCCCTAGGATCAGACTACGGATCTCCTCATTGTTGGGGATGCATAGGCGATCTACTACATCAGTCTTCTCAAACAACAATCCTTCTGTAGTGCGGTAGTGTGGTTCAGTTTCTGGGGCCTCCTTAACTCTCTTGAGGAGGTCRCTATAGATAGGATCCTGCGCATACGCCTGTCTTACTTTCTCTTGCAGGTCCTTTCCTATGTCTAGATAATGCACTATAGCTCCAAATTAGTCTGATCTCCTACTCAGAGCATCCGCGACTACATTGCGCTTGCCCTTGACCGGTTTGAGCTCAAAGTCGTATTGGTCTATCTCAGCGGCCCACCTGGTCAACTTCGGTGTCATCTTGGCCTGGGTCTTTAACCATCTAAGAGTTTCGTGGTCTGAGTATACTTTGAAGTGCCTCCCAAGTAGGTAATGCTTCCAGTGCTCTAAGGCCGGCCTGAGAGCGTAGAGTTCTCTCTCCTACGTCGAGGTGGCTACCTTCTCTGAGGGCATCCTCGCTGACATGAACTCTACGGGTCTATAGCCATTGTCGTCGTCTTGCTGCAACACGGCGCCTATACCATACTGACTTGCATCCGTGGTGACAACAAATGGCAAGGACGGATCTGCTACCTTGAGGATAGGATACTCTATTAACGCGCGCTTCAGTTTCTTTCGCGCAGACGTACAGTCTTTACCCCACTGCCAGATTTCCTCTTTCTTTAGCAACCTGCGCAAGGGAGCGGCGATAGTGGAGAAGTTCCTCACGAACTTTCTATAGTAATTTGCTAGGCCTAAGAACGACCGCAACTCTGTCAATGTGTGGGGCGTCGGCCAGTCTCTAATTGCCGCTATCTTGCTGTCCTCAGGCTTAATGCCATCTCCGTCTAATACGTGGCCCAAGTACAAAACCTGTGTCTTGGCCCACTCGCACTTCTTCGGGTTGATCTTGAAATTAGCCTCTCTTAGCTTCTCCAAGACCTGCCTCAAATGACCCTGATGCTCTTGGAGGGTCCTGCTGAATACTAATATATCATCTAAATAGACTACTASAAACTTATCTAACCACGGTCTAAACAGATCATTCATACAACGCTGAAATGTAGCTGGCGCGTTGGTTAGTCCAAAGGGCATCACTATGAACTCGTGATGCCCGTATCTAGTCCGGAAAGCAGTCTTGTACTAGTCATCAGGATGGACTTCTATCTGATGGTATCCGGACTTCAAATCTATCTTTGAGAAATACTTACAACCCTGCACTCGATCTAAAAGATCGTCTATCCTGGGCAGTGGTTCAACATTCTTCACTGTGATGGCATTCAACCCTCTATAGTCTATGCACATACGCAACTCTCCTTCCTTCTTGGGGACAAACAAAACTAGTGCTCCAAAAGGAGATGAACTGGGCCTAATCCAACCTTTTTCCAGGAGCTCGTCTAACTGCTTGCGCAACTCCTCTAACTCTCTAGGGGACATCCTATAGACTGCTCCCTTAGGAGTTCTACTGCTAGGCTCTATCTCTATCCTGTGTTGGATCGGCCGCGACACTACTCTTGTCGGCAACTCGGTCAAATCTTTGAACTCCTCCAACAGCTTGGCAATGGTTGGATCTATGGAACTAACTTCTTCCTTAGGCTCAGTGACAGGTGTAACATATACTACAAAGACCTGATCCTCTAACTGCTCCTTTTTCACTAAGCGTGCGAATGCGGGAGCACTGAGACAGCAATGTGCCAGTGTTATCTACACCTGACACATGAAACAGGCGGGCAGTCTTGACTCGCCTGATGGACTAGGGAGCCTACACTCATGCTCTCTCAAGTGGAGTGTGGCCCCTGCTGCCTCTCCCCAATCCATTCCTAACACTAGTCAAAAGGAAGGTCATCCTGTACGAGGAGAGTCGGGGATGGAGAACTTTCTCCACCTTCCCATCCTTCTCTAGGCGAAAGTACGCCTGGACTCCCTCTACGTAGTCCTCAACGCGCATTGTGTGGTTGTCTGCGAGGACACTGACTATGGGGTCTGGCAACTTTTGGACTTTTAATCCTAGCCTTAACTTTTTCAGCGCTCTACGGCTAATGTAACTACGGGTAGCCCCTGAATCTATAAGGGCTCCTACTCTACTCCTAACACCTCTACATCAACTAAGATTAGTTGTCCTTTACTCTCCTTCTTCATTTTGGCCCAGGCTGGCATCCTCTCCTTCAACTCCTCTGCCACACCTGTGAGGGACGTGCGTAGAGAGACGCTAACACAAGCAGTCTCTGGACAACTGGCTAGGCAGGGGCCTGCAACCTCTGTCATAGGCTCATGTGGTTTGGGAGTTTCCTGTACACGCGCGCTCGCTTCCCCACATGGCAGTGAAGTAGGGGCAGTTGCGACCCCTACTGGCGGCTGCCTTTTGGCTGTTGGGCAGCCCATCGGGTTTGTCTATACTTAGGACAAAATTTAATTACATGGGCCGGGTCACCACAAAACACGCACTGACCCAAGTCCACGCGTTCCTGCCATACGCGCTGGTCCAAGCCCAAATCTTCCCAGGGCCTGCCCTGTGGCAACCATGGGTGCCATCCTCCTTGAGGTGGCCTTCCACCTTGTCGCTGCGGGGACCGACAAGAACCCTGACGATTTGGCGGGGGACCTTGACCCCTACCTCCCACTTGGCAGTTCCCTTGTCCGCCAACCCCCTGTGCGCCCGGTCCTCGGCCTCCCGTGGGCTTGCCCCTTTGGCCCTGGCCTCCTCCTCTGCCTTGCGACCTCCCTCCAGCCACGACAGCCGCATAGGACCTCCCCTGCCCAACGCTGTTGTCTTCCTCTAGGCCCTACTCAATCTCACTGTAGGGGACCTCATCTGTACCACCCTCTTCTAAAGTAAGGATCATATGATCCTTGGTCCTGACTTGGCCAGAGATGGTACGCCCTTTCCACTTTTTGCCCTTATCCAAGTCCTTGTGCCAGAAAGTGGAAACTGGCATGGACTTCGACTCAAACCGGACCACCTCTCTACTCAGCACATCATAGTGATGTCGACCTGTTGAGATTTGTCAAAGAAATGCCCACGTAGGGGCTCGGGCATGGCACGATAAAATAACTGGACCAGCTGGGGCTCAGTGACCCCATGCCGCAAAGAAATGCCCTGACGCCTCTCGTGGGGTCAGCAAATCTTTCTCGCAGGAGTTTGAAGAACTGAGGAAGGGGGGTGATCTTGGAATATGCAACTAGGTTGTTTTCACAACCGGCTGCGCGTGCAAGGGACCTGGCAAAACTAGCCGCTTCATCCTTGAGGGCCTAGAAGGCTATGAGGACTTGCTCCTCAGTCAGAATATGCGGTAAGTACACGTAGGTGTTGACACTAGCCTCCCAATTATCAAAATTTTCCTCCTTCCCGCCATATGCGTCTGGAAATTTAAGCTTAACGGGGTCCTTGCGGGGTCTGGCCTCGCTCTCAACAGTGGCTACCGCTTTGGCACTCTCGATGGCACCCTCACAAAACTTTCCCACGTTCTCTCTTAACCGTCTGACTTCACCCCCAACGTGGGTGACCATATCGCGTGCAAAGTCTCCAAACCCCGATCGCATGGCACTCAGGGCTACCTCTTGGCCCCGGTTGGCTTGGCGCTCCTCCATCCAAGCTGCACTCAACACTTCCAAGTACCCCATCATCTTATCCATTTTGGCAGAGATGTTTGTTTGCGCCTGCACCTCCTACCTACAATCTCTCACCTTTGCCGCCTCCGCGGTCAACCTATTAACTTCCTCCCTCCTTTTATTTTCCCTCTTCATCCTCAGTTTCCACTCCAACTTCTCTCCTCCTCTACTTCTTGCCGTTCCAGGGGTTCCTCGGTTGTTGCTAGCGCACTGGCTAATGCATCCCTCTCATCCTGTGGCACATAGAACTGTGCCTCTTCGTCTTCCCCCAACGATAAGTTAGCAATCCACTCACTAATCTTCTTCTCCATTGCTGCATCCTCTTTCGTCGTGCCACTACTATCCCCTTTTACTTCCCTGTGTTTCCTCTCCTCTTCTGCTTCTGCTGCTGCTTCTACCTCAGCAGCCTTTTTCTTTCCCTCCATCTCCTCCTCCAGTTTCTTCATTTTCGCCACCTGCTCCTCTGCGATTACTTTCAACTTCGCCTGCTTCAGGAACTCTTTCCTTTCCTTGTTCTCTCTCACTAGGGCGGCCATCTTCTCTTGCTGTTCCTGGGTATAGGGGCTAGTGCTCTTCCTACTCCGGGTGTCAACCATGGTGATAAGTGCACAACCGAACAGTTCCAAACCTCACCACTTAAGACTCTAACCCCTAACTGACAAACCTACTGACTCGATCTAAAGACTCACAGAATCCGGACAGGGATCCTGTCAACTAGGGTCTCTAGCCTAGACCTACACTATGGCTGTCACTACTAGACCGGTTGCTGATCAGGAGGCATTTAAGGAGATCCCCCGTAACTCCTCAGGAAGTATTTAATGTCGCAAACAGAACAACGTGATCAGCAGGTCTCTCAATACTTGGACTGCCTGTTGTGCAGCCCACAACTCAACCTTTCGGGCCTACCGTGCCACACAGAGCAGCCCGCCAGTCTGTACCGGTCCTTGGGAGGGTTAGGCCTCCGGGACAGTCGAGTCGTCAGACACAGTCTTTAGTCCTACTTGGTCCGGCAGGGGTTTGGTCAACAAGAACTATCCTTCATCCACAAAGTACTATCACCTGGACAGAAGAGACTCGATGCAGAAAGAAGAGACAGACAGACTGGTCTCAGCAAGTACCACAAGGTGTGTGCACATCCATAGGGCGAGGGGATAGGCTGAAGGCTTGGCGAGAATATACCGGCTCCAACTTGGTCAAACTCGTGGTCAACAGTCTTGGTCAACGCTCGGTCAACGCTGCGGTCAACCCCCGATCAGCTCGATCAACCCCCGGTCAATGCCGGTCAACCCTGGTCAAGGCCTCCGGTCAACTTCCCGGCTATGGCGGCCGGCTTCACCTTCGTCGCCACCCTTCACCTTCGTCGCCACCCTTCACCTTCCTTCTCTTCACCTCGCCTCTTCTTTCTTCACCCTGACTGTCTTTTTTTTTTTTTTTTTTTTTTTTTGGTAGTCTCTCTCTCTTCCTCTCCTCGGCTATGGCTTCTCTCTCCCTTCTCGGTCTCTCCCTCTGTTCACTCTCTCTCCCTCCTTCGTTACTCCGTGGTCAGGCTCCGCGGCTATGGCCGCCTTCTTCTTCACAGGACTGCACTTCACAGGTACGTAACAGCCAAACTTGTATCGCTCCTCTCTCTCTCTCTCTCTCACTCTCTCTCTCTCGCGCGCGCGCGCCGTAGCGATATCTCCAGCGCAGCAGGTACGTAGTAACCCAATCTTGTATCGCTCAACCTTTCTCCCTCCTCTCTCTCTCTCTCTCGATCTTCTTCTTCGTCGTGGTCTTCTTTGCAGGTGCGCGGCGGCTTCTCCAACCTTCAGGTCCGCTATGGCGGACTTCTTCTCGTGGCGGCCACCTCAGCTATGGCGCATCACTCCCTGCACACGACGGCGCGCATGGAATAGCGGGTACCAGCTCCGATACCAATGCAATCAGACTTGCTTTCATTCACACTTTACATGTATGCAAACAGTAGCGCAGCAAACTGGCGACAAGCGCCCACACAGAACTCAGAGATATGGTCGCCGAAACACAGACCAGATACAAGTTTACTTTCGATGGCTATGGCGACTCAGCGCCCAAACAACTCTCTGTTCGCATACCCCGGATCACCCTGGATAYCCCACACSCGATACTCTGCACTCACACACACACACGCTGAACACTAACTACAGCTAKGGTGGCTATGGCCACCTCTACCCTATCGCTATGGCTAAGCTTCGTCTCTCTGCCCACTTCGTCTTCGGGCTCACTGCAGACCTCCTTGCACAAGTCGCTGTGGCAGCGCTTCNAAGCTTCGTCTCTCTGCCCACTTCGTCTTCGGGCTCACTGCAGACCTCCTTGCACAAGTCGCTGTGGCAGCGCTTCGGCATGGCTCATGCAGGAATGAATGAATGGCTGGGCGCTGCCTCTTGATTTATACTTCTGAAGCTCGTTGGTCTGCCCTTTTCCATCGGCCCATGGTGCTCACAGTCCCTCGCGGTACTTGCTGGACCGGACTGGGACTGACTGGACCGTACTGCTGACTGAATGGGGACTCACTGCTGTCCTACTGGGGTCGTACTGCAATCGCACTGCAGTTAGTCCACCACTTGACTCACCACTTGCCCACTTGCCGACTTTCTGGAAGGCTACCTACCAGTTACTTACTAGTACACAGGTCACGGGTTCAACTCTCGGGGTCTACACAGGTACTGTACACGGTGAGGTAAGGACTAGGGATCGAGCCCTGGGATCTGCAAAAAGGTGAAAAACGTTTTAATGGCATGGACTCAAGAGTACAGAAATGAATCAAGGCATTTCAAAAACATCCAAACCATTCAGATGAGAGAGATCACTATGGGGAGAAAAGTGGGGCGGAGCAAGGGGTCAAAGGAAAAAGGAGGAGCGTTATGATAGTCAACTCATGTGCATGGAAGTCCCTGCAATGGTTATGTACTCACACAAACTCGGGTCGGCAAGCAAGTGTTCACAATGGTCAGGTGCCCAACCTTTGCGGCATCAGGAAGACTGATGGCTACCATAGTTGATCATGTCGAGCAGGAGAGTTTCTTTCAGACCATATCCTTTTTGGCATATCATTGGGCAAGAGATGCGAATGGCTCACAAGAAAGCACTCCAAACACTGAAGCTGAGCAAGAAAAAAAGGCAAGGCAGGGATAACAGTGGAGATCACCTTAGAAACTTCCCAGGGTGCCACTCTGTGGGCATATATCACAGAGGAGAAACACTGGCCAACTCGCGCTGCGCACTTGGCAACATTCTGAATTCCTGAGAAGTCGCCTATGGATTCCTGAATGTCCTTTGCAGTTATCCCAGCAGTGGGGTCGGATGCAAAGAACCAAGCAGACCTGTCCCTGAGCTGGTTTGCAGAATAGGCCAAGAAATCATAGTGCCGACCACAGAGAGTAAATCCCTCCAACATCAGCTTGAGAAGACGCTCGTATATTTTAGTGTATCTGCGAGATTTCTCCCTTCCTCTGCTGCCAAATGGCGATATAAGAAGAGTGCCTGGCATGTACTTCTCTGAAGCCTCGTCACGAAACAAAACTCGGATAAATCTATCAGAGTGCGCATGGAACTTCCGGGTAACTCTGTTCGAATACTCAATCTCAGGTGGCATGCAATATCCACGTGTTGGAGTGATGATCACACGACGGACGTTCACTTTGCTGTCTTGAAGACCCGCATCGGGATGACCCACCGAAGGCCCGTCCCTGTTGATGCGTTCGACCATCTCCAAGAAATCAACTGCTGGCTTGAAGACATCCTTCTTATCCAAGAGCATACGAAGAACATGAATACTGATTGCAGGCGGTGTCCGGGTCGGACGGAGCAGTGCAAAGAACTCAGCCGTTAAGCCTCCTTCATTGATCACCCCTTTATGAAGAAGGCAATGGATGAGGTACAGTACGTCAAATGGAATGCAATTAAAAGGGTCGCGCACAGAAACCAAGGGGTCAACATTCTCAGGCTTTATCCAAGACTTCTGCATGACTTTCCAATCGTTGAACACATATTCTGCCTGCGGGAATGTATCCACCATGATGTGCTTCTGCAGAGTTCCAGCATATGAATTACACAAAGCACGGAGAATCATAAATGGTCAAAAACAGCCCCACACGTTATTCACACAATTACCCTCCCTCACTCCACACAGGGGATGGCCTAAGAGATGTACGTGCCTTGGGAAAAAGGATTGCCCCACGCAAGCCAGGACTGTTGTCCCCATGTGCCAGCAACCGGTTCCCCAGAATGGAACCATAGACAGTTCCGAGACATTCATAATTCAAAACGTAAACAGAGAGCGAGTTAGGTACAACATCACTGAGTAGCGAAAGTTCACGCTAGAGGGATGTTCATGCTACAAAGCATGAACCCAGTTGGGAAAACGGCCTGGCTAGTGCTTACTTAGCACAAAGATAGCACCAGCTGATTGTGACCAAACGATTCAGCTACAAAGACCTGGAAATAGGACACCAGCTGATTGTGACCAAACGATTCAGCTACAAAGACCTGGAAATAGGACAGCGAGGCCAGGCCCTTCTGCAAATGTGAAGACAATGAACATGGTAGAGAAACAGGCAATAATGAAGTGCAAGGTCCCATTTGCTGTCATTTTACAATGCTGCAGACAAGCCAAGTCCCGGTCGAAGGGTCCCAAATTGTCCCAGTCCCCATTGGGACCAGTCCCAGATGGGGTCGATCTCAGGCTGTCCCGTTAGGATAGGTCCTAGGGCAAAGGTTGGTGTGACGAGGCAGAGGCAGAGCAGCGAGGCTGGGAGAGAGAGGGAGAGTGAGAGCACACACACACGCTCATTCAGCTCGACGCAGACTCGATACAACTCGATGGACGCAGACACAAAGTGGCAAAGTCGCAAAGTCGCAGTCTTGAATTCCCGAACGCAATGTCGAAGCAAAGTCACACTGAACACAAGCACTGAGGCTGAAAACTTGGTGCCCCTGCTCGGCTTGAGTCCGTACACACGTACCGGACTCAAGTACGGTCCTGAAGGGAGAAAGTGAAAATGCCTCAGGGCCAGAACTGAAAATTGAAAGTCTGAGAGTGGGCGCCAGAATGTCGGATAGCACCTAGTGTCCAAAATCCGAAAGTCCCAAAAGAAGGAATTTGAGAACGGGCGCCGGAATGCAGATGGCGCCAACTCTCTGAAATCAGAAAAGCAAAAACAAAGAAAAAGAAAACAAGAAAACTGTAAAAAGTACTAAAAACAAAAATAAGAATAAATACACCAAGCTGGCAGGTGGTAACCCGCAGACCAGGGATCGAGCCCTCGCGGAGTCAGTAACACTATCCCCTCCCTCTAGAAGGCAATGTCCCGGCTGCCAAAAGTCATGAAAATAATGCTGAATCCTGTGAAGGACGGGACGGGGCCGATCACTGGGAAGCAGGAAGAAAAAGGGAGAGAGGCAAAATGTGGGTAACAAGGGCTGGGGGAAACAGGGTTTTCCTCCTAATGAGCTACGAGGTATGCGAACGAGAGGGAACAGAGTTTGCCTACTAATGAACTACAGGGTTTAGGAACTGCAGGGCAACAGGGTTGTCCTACAGATGGACTACAGGGTTATGATCTGAGGGGGGAACAGGGTTGTCGTACTGATGGACTATTGGGCGAAAGGGTTCTGTGAGCAAAAACAAAGAAAGGAAAATAATTTTGCAGTGTTTGGGGGTTGGGGTTTCTGACGATCTCAAAGTGAATGGGGTTGGGGGGGAAATCGCAGGTTCTGCAAAATGGTCCAGCTGAGAGTCTTGAAGCAGGTCTTGAGGTAAGTCCAGGTACAAAAAGCTGATGATAAACCAGTCTTCAGCAGGCTTGCGACGTGTAGTAGCACGGGTTCCACAGGTACAAAATGTTGACGATAAACCAGTCTTCAGCAGGCTTGCGACGCGTAGTAGCGCGGGTTCCAGCTTGAAAGAAGTAGTGTAGAAGTCCAATAGATGACGGTCCAAGTGCCAGGGTGCGTCCTGTACACGATCCTGATGATGAAGTCTGATCCCGTGTCGGGACCTATGTCCCGAATAACGCCCCGGCGCTTGAGAGCCTGTATGTAGCCAAATTGTGCACGACAAAGAAATCCGGAGTAAGGAGACAAGAGAGAAAGACAAAGGACTAGGACGGGACCGCCGGAGGGAATGATGCCCCGGGCTGAGTACCGCAGGGAGAAAGAACTGGCAACGGCAAGCAAGTAAGGGACGAGACATAGGCGCACAGGGGGGCCGGAGGGCCATTTGAATTCGGCATGACAAGGACCCAAGGGCCCGTTAACTTAGAGTGCGGCGCGACGGATGACAAGAGAATGGCGGGCCGAGAGGTGGACGGCCCCGGTGGCTGTGGGACACTAGAAAATAAGGGACCAACATGGGGGCCGCCTACGACAATTAACGAAAACCACGGATTGGAGGCCCCGCGGCCGGAGAAACCGGCGTGCGCAAAGCCCAAAAAAAGGTAGGGGAAAGAGAGCCACCACAGGGCGGTAGACGCCGAAAGAACATGGGACACCTCGAGGAAAAGCACCAGGGACCACGTGAGACTAAGTAAAAACAATAGTATCTGGGACAGAAAGTGTCGGGGACCACCGGCGGGACTAAGTCTCCGGAACTACCGGCGGGATTAAGTGTCAGGGACCACCGGTGGGACAAAGTGTCCGGGACCTCCGATGGGACAAGTGGCGGGGACATGAGAAGGTCTCGAGAGAAACAGCAGAGCGGCGTGAGGGGAAAACAATTAAAACAAGATGCGCCGTCAAGATCGAGATCTTGACGACCAAAAATATTAGCACCACTAGTGCAAGCACTAGTGGTAGCAAACGCGAAGGCCAAAAGGAAAAAGAAAAGTAAAGAAACATGAAGTGGGAGGCATGGGAGCAATCCGAAAAATCTCGTATCAGCCTCCCTCAAGAAAATGAACTCAAAAGAGACTCCATGTGAAAAATAGGCCTCCGGGAGAAAATCGGAGTAGGAAGGGCTACTGTGTGAGAGAAATAAAGGTAAAAAGAAGCTCCTATGCGCATGTGGAAGCCATAATTGCAGTCCGAGATATAACGGACTGCACCATGGGCATAAGGAGGGCCAAAACTAAGAGGAAGGGCCTAGAAAAGGGCCTTAACGGCCACTTGACACTTGGCATGCTAGGAAAAGAAAGAAAAGAAAAAAAAAATGTGAAATAATAAAACAAAAAAAAGTGAGAGGGAGTGAGTAAGTTGGCCGTCACTAGGGACTGCCACAAGTAGGGACTGGTAGGTCCCTACTGTCCAAGAAAGAAGGAAAAAGAAAAGAAAAGAAAAGAAAAGAAAAGAGAAAAGAAAAGAAAAAAAGAAAAGGGTCTTAACGGTAAAAAGCAGCCGCTTGGGGAGATCCATCGTGACCAGATACATTCTGGAGTATGGCGGTTGCAAAGGACCTTGATTTTCTCTTGATTTTGCAAAGAAAATCAAGAAAAATCAAGGCCCCATGCAACCGAAATACAACGGATTACATAGGGGAGGAGAAACACATGTTTTAGGTGCATCCGGAGCCAATGTTGAGCCGGGATCCACTTGAAAGTTGGTCATTTCTTTTTCCTTCAGTTTTGGGCTAGTTGTGGGGCAATGGGGCTAGAAAATTGACCCCCATTGCAGTCTGAGTTACAAGGGACTGCATGGGGAAGTGGAAAACACATGTTTTAAGTACATCCGGAGCCAATATTGAGCCCGGATGCACTGAAGAACTGAGGGCTTCATTTTCTTTCAATATGGGGCAAGTTGTGGGGCTGTGGGACTAGAAAAATAATCATAATTGCAGTCCGAGAAATAACGGACTGCATGAGGATGCCTAGGCCAAGGGAAAAATGAGCCATGACAAACCCAAAAGGGTAGAAAAGAGAGATTTTCGGCATGAGGCAAATAGAAACGGTAAATGGCAACCGTGAGATGATATCTCGCGGCCAAGAATAATCGACACACATGAGGCACCTGAGGAAGGGATATTGGAACCAACAAGGACAAGGACGCCCAAAAATAAAAGTGGAACATCATCTAGGACGTTGCCGGAGACCAAATGGGCCCAAATAAAAATAGTCGAAAAAACGGGACACGCGTCAGCGGGGCTACCGGTGGGACAAAAAAATGGAACTAGTACGAGGAGAGTGGCAGAGACTTGAGTTGTCCCAAGGTAACCATGAGCCAACCAGGAGGAATGGTCGTGCAAGCGAACGACACCGTGGAGATCAAAGATCTAGACGGTGGAAAATATTAGCACCACTAGTGCGAGCACTAGCGGGATCAAGTGGGAGAGCGTGAGAGAAAAAAAAGCAAATAATGGTGTTGAGAGGGCTGCCCAACATTCCGAGATATCTCGGACTAGCTAGGCATGGGAAAATAGAGCTCCAAGGGGCTCAACACAGAAAAAAGGTTGTCCAAAGAAAATTGGAGCAAAGGGGGCTCAAAATTGAGACTAACGGAAGCAAAGAGAACCCCCCCTAGGAGCATGGGGGTGTCATTATTGTAGTCCGAGATATAACGGTCAACTATTGAGCCTGAATCTGGCCATGGACGAGGATCCATGGTCTAGAAAAAGACTCAACAGCTACTTGACACTTGTCACATCAGAAATAAAAGAAAAGAAGAAAAAAATAAAAAAAAATGGAGGGGGAATGGGACAAAAGGGGAGAAAAGAGTGGAGGAGAATGTGCCGGTCTATTGGGATCTGCACAATAGGGACTGGCAGGTCCCTACTGCCAGTCCCTACTGTGACCTCATCCCTCCAAGATTCAAGGAGGGCAATCCGAAATGCAGAGATATGACCCTTGGGGCAATATCTCCACAAAATCTGAATTAAAAAGAGAAAAAAAAAAAAATGCAAAGGAAAAATTACCGGTTTTCTTTTAGGTCAGGGAATATGGCCGTTTTTTATGAGGCCTACCCAAAAAAAATGCAAAGGAAAAATTACCGGTTTTCTTGTACTCCAAAATAAGTTGGCAGCCCAAAATGGAAAGAAACAAAAGAGAGAAAAAGACAAAACTGTACATTTGGCCCAAAAAGAGGGCCAGATGCACCAAA